ACACAGGCCCGAGAAGCAGCCTGACCGTGGCCCCCACAGTGGTCGCGCGGCTTGTCCCACGTCCGAGGCACACGGTGCTTTTGGGGGAATTTGGAAATTCACTCACAGTCCCCGCTCCTGCTTCAGGCCAGGCCCGGAGGAGCCTTGGGACTCGGGCCTTTGGAAGGTGACTTTTGCCTTTTCTGCGGAAGAGTCCATGTAAGACGGGAACGCTCACCCGTCCTTCCGTGGGACAGGATGGGCCACCACGTGGCTTCCCGCGGCCTCGGCACTGACGGGGCAGCCCGGCGGCGGGGCTTGGTGGTGTGGGGCCCAGGAAGGCAGATAAAGGGAGAATTAGTAAATATGACACACATGCACACATGATAACATATAGTACTGGTGGCCTAAGTGGGGCACCAGCTCACAGCAGGGTGGCGCCGGCCCCCGCCTGGCGGCCGGAGTGAGTGTCATCCTCCCCGCTCACCCTCAGTCCCCGGGGCTCACTGTTCCCTCTCTCTCCCGGTCGCCGGCCAGCGGGAACCTGGACAGACAGACGGGGAAGGGCAGCACGGCCCTGCACTACTGCTGCCTGACGGACAACGCCGAGTGCTTGAAGCTGCTGCTGCGCGGCAAGGCCTCCATCGAGATCGGTGAGCAGCCGGCTGCCTCCTGCCTGCGTCCTCGCGGGGACACGGGACAGTCGGAAGATACAGCTCCCATCGGGGCTGAGGACAAACCCGCCCTCCGTCCAGCAGGGGTCCCCAGCACGTCCTGCAGGGCTGCTGAGCCCGGGGTCAGGAGCAGCCTTCCTCCTAGACCCGTGGTCGGCAAACTGCGGCTCTTTGGCCCCTTGAGTGTGGCTCTTCCACAAAATACCGACTTCTGCGCATGGGCCACGAAGTTTCCATCGCATTGTACGTGTGCGCCTGCACGTGGTATATTGTGAAAGAGCCACACTCAAGGGGCCAAAGAGCCGCATGTGGCTTGCGAGCCGCAGTTTGCCGACCACGGCCCTAGACTGTCCATCAGTGGCCGGCGTCGCAGGGACAGTGTGGGCAGGCGAGAGACCCTGCCGCTGCCCCTGCCCCTGAGGCTGAGGCGACCTTGGCCGTGGTTTGGGGCTTCTCACCCTTCTGTTCGTAGCCCACACCTCGGGTCAGCCCGGCCCCTGCTGGCTCTGGGAGAGCCGTTACACCCGTGTCCCCACCATGGGACCCTGACGTCCAGCCCAGGCTAGTCCCGCGGCACCTGGCCGCAGTGGGTCATCAGGAAATGCTTGTGAGGACTGGAGAAGGAAGGCACACACCTGCTTGGGAGCCAGGTTTCTTTTTCAAAATTAATCATCAAACCCGGCTGGTGTGGCTCAGTGGTTGAGTGTTGACCTATGAACCAGGAGGTCATAGTTTGATTCCCAATCGAGGGCACACGCCCGGGTTGCTGGCCTGATCCCCAGTCGGGGGCGTGCAGGAGGCAGCCGATCCATGACTCTCTCTCATCATTGATGTTCCTGTCTCTCTCCCTCTCCCTTCCTCTCTGAGATCGATGGAAAAATATTTTTTAAAAATTTAATCAAGCCTGGTTGGCTGAGGGTTCCTGAGGAGAAAGCCCACAATTTCCTGTTTGTGGACAGCTGGCGGGGGGAGGCGGAGGTTACACTGGCTGCTGCCTCCGCCCGCAGGGCTCCGGTTGGCGGACGGTGGGGAACCGCTTCATGGGACGTAGAGTTTGCATGTTGATTTCCGTCAGTTGGCTACTTCCGTGGCTCGATGGTCGTGATCCGTGCAAACCTTGTAAAATCTCGGCGACGAGCTCCATACAATCATAAGACGAGTTTGGCCCCGGCTGGCGCGTGCGCTGCGGATTTCATCGGTCGTGTTTGATTTAACTTCGGCCGCTGCTCTGTGCCTTTTACTGTCCTCATCTCAGACCTCTGCCTGTTCTTGCCGCCCCGCCTTGTAGCTAACGAGTCGGGGGAGACGCCGCTGGACATCGCCAAGCGCCTGCGGCACGAGCACTGCGAGGAGCTGGTGAGTGTGCACAGAAGGGTTAAGGCACTTGCCCGAGGCCACACAGCGCCTCCGTGGCTGTGGCCGGCGTGAAGCCCCACCGGCCCGAGACACCAGGGGAATCTAATGAATGACCTCTCCCTGCAGCTGGGACTAGTGTCTGCCTGCCTTGAGGGCACTGGGTGTCCCTGGGAAGGGCGATCCGGTCATTTTCTCAGGGCTGACCTCTCCTGTCGGTTGAGGAAGGCTGGGCTACCCCTGGGGGACATGCCCAGTTTGCTCCCTTACGCGGTGGGCTGCGTCTAGGCTGCACGTCATTCTGCAGATCTCACGTCCCTGACCTGCGCGCAGTTCACAGGGCACCTAACGGGCTTGAGTTTCGCGTTATCTGTGAATTAGGGAGCGGGTGTAACCCGAGACCCAGAGATCTGCATAAGCTGGGGGGGCTCCCTGCCTCCCTCCCTCGGGCATGGGGGTGGACGTCCGTGTCCCGGGCTGAGTGTCTCCCAGGCTGAGCTGCGTCACCCACAGTCCTTTGCTCCCCTCAGCTGACCCAAGCCTTGTCTGGAAGGTTCAACTCCCACGTGCACGTGGAGTATGAGTGGCGGCTGCTGCCCGAGGACCTGGATGAGAGTGATGACGATGTGGACGAGAAGCTGCAGGTCCGTGCCCGCGCGTAAAACCCGAGTTCCCCGAGGAGCTTCATTCAGAGCCCCGCGGCTCCCGGCCTGCCGTTGGGGCGGAGAGCTGGTGTGCAGGAGGGAGAGTCGGGTTTGCTTTCCGCTTCCTGTGATCGCGGCGGGCGGTGCTCTCAGCCCTCCGGTCTCCCCGGGCAGCTGCTCGCCTTTGGATGTGGAGGGAAGACAGAGGCGGCTTGGATCCCAGCGGGGGAGAGGAACCCGCACGCCGCAGTTAATGGGACCAGGAGCCAGGTTCCCCCGTGGCCGAGGCCACCGAGTGGAGCTCTGAAACCGTCACTGAAACCGTTCAGTGGCCCCCCCTGCTCATGCGGTCAAGGCTTTCCCTGCTCAGATGGGGCCGTTGACGCTGAGAGAGAGTTGACTTGGCCACAGGGAAGCAAGTGTTTAGAGACCAGCTTAGGGCCAGCCTGCGGGCTCTTGCCTCCTAGTTCCTTCTCGTGACGCTCCCTGGGGGACCTCAGATCGTGAGACGGGGAGGTTGTCAGGTTTGCCCGTCCTCCTGTAGGACGTCCAGGTGTGTCCTGAGGACACCCAGTTACCTGCGTGGCGTTTCTGAACCGAGTGGCCCGTCCTTGTGGACGGAGCACTTCACGTCCATATTTGCTGACCCTTTTTTTGTTCATTCTCACCCGAGAATTTTTTCCCTGTTGAATTTTTTAGAGCGGAAGAGAGGGGGAGAGACGCAGAGAGAGAAACATTGATGTGAGAGAGACACATCGATTGGTTGCCTCCTGCACGTGCCCTGACCAGGGCTGGAGATCGAGCCTGCAACCGAGGTAGATGCTCCTGACCAGAATCAAACCCTTGATCCTTCCGTCCGAGGGCTGATGCTCTAACCACTGAGCAAGCCAGGTAGGGCCTTACTGACTCTTAGAATAAGAAGTCCTTTTAGTGAGTTAGCGATGAAACAGGATCAGACCGGTTTCCTGCACTCCTGCCGTCAAACAGCAGGTTTGAAACACCTGCCCCAGGTGAGGGCCTCTTCATCAGTCGCAGCTCACCTGCCCATCCTGTGGGCAGTGGCCCCGCCGGTGGCGTCGCCCAAGTGAAATTCCGATAGGAGGGGCTCTGGGGGCTCGGAGCCCAGACACGCGCCCACCCCCTCTTTTTCCAGCAGAGAGTGGCGGGTGCTGTCGGTTCACACGGCCGTGGGCTTTGTGGGAATTTAAAACCACTGAGTTCTGCACACCCGAGCTGGGTGTGAGCCGTGGGGTCGGCCAGCTTGTCGCCAGTAGGTGGACGCTGTGACCCGGAGGTCGTGTGTCCACATGTCCCACACCTGCCGCCCCCCCTGCAGCCCAGCCCCAGTCGGCGGGAAGACCGGCCGGGTGGGAGGCTAGTCGCTGCTCGGCCCCCCACCAGGGGACATCGGGCCCCGTCGGGGTGGCTGCTTCCCTGGGGCCTTTTGTGTGTCGTTCGGGGGTTTGCTTCCTAAGGAAACGCCGTCACCCGTCCGTAGGTGCCACACACGGTGGAGCATCTTGACCTGGTCCTTGTTCTGGGCACAGGTGTGGCATCCGTGGGACGCAGGGGTGCAGGTTCCCCCCGAGGGGGGGCTGAGCGGTGGGCCAGCTCGGGGCGCTGCTCGGCGGGGCGTCACCTGCAGCCCTTCTGTCTGGCCCTTTCCCTTCGCTCCCGCCCTCAGTCCTTCTCTGCCTCTGGTCCTTCCTCTGCCTCCGTTCTCCTCTTGCTCCCTCCCACCCCACCCCGCCTCTGCCTGGGCGTGGCCAGCGTGTGGCACCTGCGACTATTCCTTATCTCTACGATCCCCAGGAAACGAAGTGTAAAAAGAGACTAACTTGGGAACAATCGTAAATTTGTAAAAATTGTAGAAACACAAAGTAGTCCCTGTGGTCCCGCCAGCACCTGACGTGCCAAAGCTCGCCACACCCACACGCTCACCTTTGCAACGTGGCAAGTGTGACTCATTGGGCACTGTTTTGTTTTAGGGGGACAGCGGGGAATGGAGCCCCCCAAAGTTAAGTAAGTTTCCTGGCGTAAAGCCCAGATGGCCATGCTGCTCTTGAAGGCGGGTCCGTGGCCAGCGGTCTTGGGGGGCTCCCCAGGGAGGAACAGGGTTCAGGGGGCTCCCCAGGGAGGGGCAGGAGCCTCGGGGCGTCGTGTCCGGCTCTGCGGCTGCCCCGGGCGCGGCGGTCACAGAAAGCCCCAGACTCGTGTGTGCTCGCTGCTCCCTGGAAGGGGCGTGCGGTGGAGGTGGCGGCCTGGGCTGAGGAGGGGCTGGCAGGGCCTTCACCGGGTCTGTGCTCCCGTGCAACTGGGCCACCTCCCCTGCTGCCTGGGGTCTCAGACCCCCCCCCCCCCC